ATAATAGTATACTTCCTTATTTTGGGGGAAATGATTGTAGCAAAGTTGGCATGGAGCCACACTATAAAGCTCAGCTCAAAATTAATACATTTTTGTTTGTCTGTTTCTAATATCAGGAGTCAGTTCAAAAACACACTTTCGTATGTTAAGATTAGTAGGTTTTCTATTAGAACACTTTTCTTTTGTCATAGCCATGTAGCAAAAAAATTATCCAAGTGTGAGCAATGAGCATTTCCGTTTGGATACAGTTTGAAAATGCATAATATTGTTTTCTCACAATGTGAGCTAAAGCTTAGACATTGCTATGACTGCCACTAGTTTGGCAAGTTTTTTGAGTCAGTCATCTTGTGTCATTTCTCCAAAAATAAGAGTAAAACAAAATGTTACTCTTTATACATTAATGTAAATAAAAGAATAGAGGAACTAAGTGAACTACAGTTAAATTCTAAATTAGGATAAATGTTCTTTTCTGATTTACATATTTTAAATGCTCCTATTTTTCACATAGAATTACTCCCTTTGTTAAGTACATTGAGAAGTCCCTAAATGTCAAACTAAAATTACAAAAGTTAAGCAATATATTTTCTGACTAAAAAGCTAGAAGTATTTTCTTTGTGCGTCTGTGAAAGTTATTTCTCATCATAGTATAAAAAGATCCGCTGCAGGTTCTTGGCCTCCCTACACGTGAAGAATGGGACAGGGGGCCTCGGTGTCATGGTAAGTGCTACAGCTCAGATAGAACTCATAGACCCAAAGAGTGTGTGGTAGTGCAGTTTATCAGGCAGAGCAAAAGCACACTTCCATGCCGTGTAAGGGGACCTGGAAGGGATGCCACTGCAGGCTGCGCTGCTGGAGATTATACCCCTGAGTTTTTCCGCTGAGTTATTCCCTCCCCATTCTTGTTCTCGTCCAATGAGAAGGGTTTTTTCAGCCTTTCTCTGGATTAATTGATCTTGGAATCCTTTACCGGATTGGCTACTGTTTTCAAACCTTGAGTCACACAGCCTCTGCCTCTAGGGTCCAGAGGCAGGTAAGATTCCAGCCCTTAAAGCCCCTAAAAGCCAGAGGAGGGAAAGTGGAAACAAAAGCCTCTGGCTGGCCAGAGGCAGTAAAAATGGAAACCAAGCCCCCAGACTACCAGGAAGTCCCTCTAACACAGTCCCTCAATAGGTTAACTAATGGATAATGTATCTGTAGTAGATGTTCCTGGTAAGGAAAACCAAAAGCCAAAGTATAATCTACTATATCATTTTAAATAAAGTCAATGTTTGTATTCAAACTGCCATTCACCATCTCACTCTGTGTTCTTGCTGATACACACAAATACGCAACAGCTAAATGGCGATTAAATACAAATGCTGTTTTACTCTTGGGCTAAACAATTGCACAAGTCCCATACTATAGGGAAATCTATTGAAGTTAAAGTGGGAAATATAATATGCTCTCTGATTAACCACAGCTGACTAGAAATGACTAAGTCACCTTAACAGAGAGGTTACTTTCTTTAATGGGTCTGCAAAAGTTAGATCCCGCCTGATTTGCTTTTTGCTTGCAGATAGATATACAGCAAAAACGTCAGTCAGGCACCTAGGTAAGAGCTCAAGAATGCAAGAAATATTCTACAATGTGTAAGCAGTTGTACTTAACGCAGTAACAATACTCACTCGTCAATATGTTATTCTTTATTGGAAAGAATTATCCAGTAATTTTGCTAATCAATCTGGCTACTTAATTAGGAAGCAATAAGGGTTGGAAAGAGTTGCAACTTCCTCTTTAATACATCTATAAAAAGCACAGTCCTAGTTTATCCTGCTTTTATAGGAAAAGCCAAGAAACTCCTTTATACCTGAAATTGCCTTAGCAAAAAAAGAAAATTATAACGATGAGAAAATTAGGGCAGTTAAAGAGATCTGATCTGGCCAACCCTCTCTTGCCTTCAAGCTGCCCTTAATTATTCCTGGGCTTATTCCAAGCTAACTTTAGGAGACATTTAGTTTATAGTTAAATGATAATAGCCCTTCCCCGAAACCAACCTCCTTTGTAAAGCTAATGAGAGCCCAGGGGGGTAGGAGGATAGAGGAATCTGTATTCTGCTAAGCTGTATACAGAAAAGTTTGCCAGTCATTATTCTGGAGGTCCCAAGATATATGACTTCCTTAATTACTGTTGCAGGTAACATCGCTATTGCAGAACCTAAGATTGGCTTTTTGAGATACCTTTTTCAGGTTTTGGATGTCTGACACTAATGGCTTTACCTGGACCTGCCAACTACTCCTGTGGCCCCACCCAGAAGCCACTCAGCATGCAGGAGGACCATTTCCCACACCCATATGATTAAACCTGCTACCAATCAGCAGCCAGCTCCCATTGCCTAGCCACTTCCACGCCTTCCTCCAAACTACCTTTGAAAAACCTTAGCCCCTGAATTCCCTGAGACTGATTTGGGTAATAATAAAACTCAGGGCTCCCATTTAGTCAACTCTCTGTCAATTAAACACTCTCCATTGCAATTACCCTGCCTTGATAAATTGACTCTATCTGGTCTGTGGGCAAGAAGAATCTATTGGGCAGTTACAGCCAAGGAATTCTTTATACACATTTTTAAACCCAAATAAGCTTTATTCTTCACTCTTACTTAAAAAAAAAAAGTGAAATACCTCTCCCATGCCTTAATTACTATGACTCTTGATTATATACATGTACAAATACATACATATGCATATACATAGAGAAAACTTTTTAAAAATTATCTAAAAATTTTAAAGAATCAAAACTATTAGGAAAGAAAATGTTACAAATCTGCATAAAAATAAATATCCATCAATATTTTATTCAAGATCTATATATTCTAATCCATTAGAATCTTAATACATGGATAAAATATTAAGACAAAGCCACATGAATTAGTATAGTTCTTTTTGACAATGTATCTCCAGTATATAACAGAACCATTAAATTAGTAAACATTGGGCATATTTCGTTTCAATTTTTCTAGATGTAAATCTTGATTTTTGTAAAGCAATTTTTGTGTTTTATCTATCTGTAATCACTTTAAAATCTTGTTGGCAATTACTGCACAGACTGTGGTTTGCGTGCAGGAATGTAGTATACTATACTACATTGCAGATGCTAGAAAGCAAAAAATTTACATTTTTAGAATCATCAACAGGTAAAATTCTGGACTTGACTTATATTCCCTCAGTCAGGTGAAATCAAGGTGTATCTAGAAGGCAGCATTGAGACAAAGAACACGTGTTGGATTCTGATAAACTGACTGACCACCATAAGGATTGCATTTTGCTGGATCTGATCATACTTACTGAGTTGTGCTGCCATGGCCAGGATGGGAGAGAACTTGTGTTCACCTATTAGCAGCAGTGAATCTGTATGGATCTGCAAAAACCTCAGTTATTGCCTCTTCAGAAGAAATAATTTGATCGAGGCAAAACAGGCAGAGTGAGAGGCTGAGGCAGGTTTTAGAGCAGGAGTGGAAGTTTGTTAAAAAGTTGCAGAGCAGGAATGAAAGGAGTAAAGTACACTTGGAAGAGGGCCAAGTTGACAACTTGGAAGATTCAAGTGCCCAATTTTACCGTTGACTTGGGGTTTCATACACTGACATTCTTCCAAGGTCCATGTTACTTCTCCTCTGATTCTTTCCTATCGCGGCTGTCCACATGGGCAGTGGCCTGCCAGCACTTGAGAGGGGCCGCGTGCCCAGTGTGTTTACTGGAGTTCTACACATGCCCCCTTGAGGCATTCCTCCCTTACCAGTTGAATGTTCCTAGGAGGTTATGTACCAGGTAAACTCTGCCATTTTGCCTTTTTATGCACATGCTTGAGCCCACTTGCCCAACTCCTGAGATCTTGTAGGGAAACTGATGATCACCAGTTTCATCTTACCTGTTGAGAGACTGCGTTTCCCTGGCTCTGGCTGGAACCAATTTTTATTTTAGAGAGATAGTGTAACAACCACCTGCCCATCATCTGATGGTTATCTGACATTCCTGGTTGAGGAGCTTGGGGCCTTTCTGCCCTACTCATATCTGACTAACTACCTACTATAATATAACCTTCTACATTATTCTGAAAGTCACTTAATTTCTAGAATGAAAATTATTTTTACTATGTTTAAGTAAAATAAATCAATAAATATGCTGTGAATAATTATAAGTAATAACAATGAATAAAATGGAAATCTAAGATTGGCCATCTGATCTCATTGAGGGTGAAGGTATTAAGGATTTAATCAGCATTAGAAACTGAGATACTAGGAGTCCATGGAGTGTGGTGATCTGCTTTTAGATGTGCTGCTGGAAGCTATTACTGAGTAGCACATATGGCTGCCAAAAGCCTTCTGGTTTTCAATCAACAAAAGATGTTTTTCTAGTAGGAGTCTGCTGGAGGCAAGGAGCATTGTAACATTGCCTTTATGACCCACTGAGATTATCTTTTGACTGATCAGGATAATCTATAGTGTATAGGCAATGAGTCAAACAATACTGGGAGAAAAGCTGTGCAGTAACCTAGGATTTTGGAGCAAATCCATGCATATCTCATGAAATCAGTCTTATGAAAATGACCTTGCCTTGCTTCTGAGGCCTAACAGAGGTTGAATATCTCAACTTAGAGCATCAAATGACTATGACTACTAAGATGTTTGTTATAAATGGGTGTTATCTGATCCATCTCATCATATTTTTTGTTGGGCAGTAGAATCAAGTGGAGGTTGTAAATATGACATCAGATGCAAGCAGTTCCTAAGGTGTAAGCATTTGTGGCTCCTTTCCAAGTACATCTCCTCTTTGATTAACTTCTACCTTTACTCAACTCACATTGAGGGCCTCAATGCTCAAATCATTGAGGAACAAAACATTAAGGTGCTTGAAAGATAATTCTTCATGATGTGCTGACACTGGGCAGTAATGAACTTCTGTAGACTAGTAATAAACTTCTACTCTTGCAGGGCGGCCCAAGACCCTGAGAACAATTTTCTATGTCTATATTAGTCTATTCTTGCACTGCTATAGAGAAATATCTGAGTCTGGGTAATTTATAAAGAAAATAGGTTTAATCAGCTCACAGTTCTGCAGGGTGTACAGTAAGTATAGTGGCTTCTGCTTATGGGGTGGCCTCAGGAAACTTACAATCATGGCAGAAGGCAAAGGTGAAGTAGACATGTCTTCCATGTCCATAGCAGGAGGAAGTGGGGAGGGGGAGGCCACACACTTTTAAATAACCAAATCTTATAAGAACTCTATCACAAGAACAGCATCAAAGGTGGAAATCTGCCTACATTATCCAGTCACCTCCCATCAGCCCCACCTTTAACACTGAAGATTATAATTTGACATGAGATTGGGCAACAAAACAGATTCAGACCATATCAATGTCTGATATGACCATCCATCTGATAAATGCAGATGCTCAATTACATTTCATTATGTCCATCATATAGTGTATGACAATTTGTGTTTGTTAGAATAAGCACTTATATTGGGGGTGGATTTACTACCCCAGCCTACCATACCTCTCTCAGTGGCACCACTAAAAAATTTCTTGAGTATCTTCTTAGTTGCTGTGCCATACCATTTGATTTTGTTTCTGAACAAAAGTTTACATTTTACAGAAAAGGAAACCAGTCAATAGGATAATTTAATGAGATTAACTGATATTATCATATTTCTCATCAAGAATTTCACCAAGTATTAGGAATATATGAAATTGAGCTCCAGAAACTCAGCTAGAAAGTCAGCTTAGAGATAAAACTTGCAACTTCAAGGTGATGTACCATAGGATTTGGTATATATTTTGAGATAATGCATAGTGCTTAATGCTGTCTCTCTCATTGCCAGAATATATTGGCCCCTAAACTAAGGGGTAAAAGTGGAAGTGTTATTTCTCTTAGTTACAAACCTGCAAATACTTTGTTTCTATTCTCCACACCTTTAGTCTTTGCTTGTTCAGAGGTTTTAATTTCTAAAGGAGAAATGCTTCTACTAGGGGACATGGTGACATTTCTAATACTCTGGACAGTTTAGACTGCAGTCTGGCCATTTTGCAGTCCTTATGTCCAAATAAAGACAAGAAAGGAAAAATGTGTGACGCAGATCCTGATCATAAAAGGGAAAGTGAGTTGCTTCAACACAATGTTGTTAGAATGGTCCACACATATATGAGCCTGGGGGAGCACTCGTAGGACTTCCATCACAGTGATAATACTAGAACAATCGAATGTATGGGAAAAATCATGGAGATTCAGCTATTTCAGTAAAAAGATTGATGTCATTTCATGCAAACGAATCTTGTCCAGAGGAGATGCTATCTGTAAGCAAAGGAAATGAAATGGACAATGAGAGCAGAAGATGCAACTTTTTAAAATTGTTATACACTTAATAAGATGGCTCCAGAATATGCATATCAGTAATCAACAGAATAGAATGAATAAGCAAATTAAAAATCAACTATATGACTTTTAACACACTTCTCTGTCAATAGCCAAAAAGTACAAAAATTAGTCAATCTATAGTTAATATGTGTAACATAATCAACAAATTTGACTTAATTTACAAATATGACCCACCCTATTAAACACTGCAGAATATATGTTGTTTTCAAGATCATACACAACATTTACAAAATTTCAAATCATATATGAAGTCCTAAACAATTTAAAACTAATTAAAATCATTAAGAGTATATTTCCAACCATAGTAGGATTAAAATTAAAATAAATTACATAAATAAATTCAGAAAGGCCAACAGTGTAGAAATTAAGTAATAGACTACTAAACGACCCAAGAGCCAAAGATATAACCACACTGGAAATAAGAAAGTACTTTAAAAGATAAGAAAAATATGCTACAGTGAGACTTGAAGAATGTAGCTAAAGCAGTATTTAGAGAAAAAATATATTGCCTTAAATTAACATGTAAAAATACTGTCTAAAATGAAACAATTGCAGCATGCATGATTAGAGGCAAGAAAATGAAAAACAGAAAAAACCTAAGGCTATTAAAAGGAAATATAGTAAAAATAACAGCAGACATCAGTGCTATGAAGAACAAATGTGCAATAGTAAAAAACTAAAATTTAAATGTTGCTACTTTGGAAATATCAATAAAATTGCTAAGCCATTAGTTAGATTGTTCATAAGAACAAAGGAGAGAAAACACAAATTACTAATATTAGAAATAAAAAAGTATATAGCAATGTAGACTAAGGAGGCCTCAAAAACTTTAATAAAGAATACTGAAAAATTTTAAATAAATAAATTTGCTATGGTGAGTGAAATAAATTAATATTTCAAAGAATACAACTTAAGGCTGGGCGTGGTGGCTCACGCCAGTAATCCCAGCACTTTGGGAGGCCGAGGCGGGCAAATCACGAGGTCAAGAGATCAAGATAATACTGGTCAACATGGTAAAACCCTGTCTCCACTAAAATATAAAAATTAGCTGGGCACGGTGGCGCACACCTGTAATCCCAGCTACTCAGGAGGCAGGAGGCAGAGGTTGCAGTGAGCTGAGATAGCGCCACTGCACTCCAACCTGGTGCCTGGTGACAGAGCGAGACTCTGTCTCAAACAAAACAAAACAAAAACAAAAAAATATGTATAACTTACAACTAAACAACAAAAATAAAACAATAAAACAAGGAAAAGATATTCATTCATAATATTAGGTGACTGAATACTAGTTACCCTCGCAGAGGATAGAATTCAAAAGGGTACTTGTGAAATGTTGTGTCCTATTTCTTGGTAGAACTATTCTATATTTTAGAAGTGTAGGACTGCATAGACAATAATATACCAGTGTCATTTATTTTTATTTAAAATTATATTAAATAATCTGTATTTGATGTTGATGTTTAAGTAATCTTAAGTATAGATGTTTTGAGCAATAAAATAAATGACACTACTATTGGGTTACAATCCACAGAATAAAACAAGCATCCATAAGTTTATGCTGATATAAAAGTTCTTTATTAAGAAAAATTCAGGCCAGGTTTGGTGGCTCATGACTGTATTCCCAGCACTTTGGGAGGCTGAGGCAGATGGATCAAGAAATCAGAAGTTCGAGACCAGCTTGGCCAACACTGTGAGACCCCATTTCTACTAAAAATATAAAGATTAGCCAGGCATGGTGGTGTGCACCTGTACTCCCAGCTCTTCAGGAATCTGAGGCAGGAGAATTGCTTGAACCCAGGAGGCAGAAGTTACAGTAAGCTGAGATTGCAACACTGCACTCCAGCCTGGGCAACAGAGCAAGACTCTGTCTCAAAAAATAATAATCATCATAATAAAAATATACAGAAATAAAAAGGAAAATGGAAATCTGTCTTTAAATTTCATAACATTGATGGCAGTGGCAGTACATCTGTATGTCTGACGTAGCAGGGATGCCAGCTACAGTGTGGGAAGAGCAGATGGGGCTGTGTTCCCCTTGAAGCCCATGGGAGCCAGGAATAGGCAGGAGCCTTGCCACTGACCAAGTTGTCAGGAATGGAGCCCTGCACTTCTGAGCATAGCTTAGCCAGCCATGGCTCCAGACCCAGGCATCACTGTTCTTGGACACTTGGAAGGCCCCTCTGCCCCTGCAGACTCAGAAGTGCCTACTCCCATTCTTCCCCACCCTGATGCCTACTCTGTTTTTGGAGCAAAGTTGAAGCTGAGCTCGGGCACTGTCACGACACAGCCAGGGGTGTGTACACTCAAGATGGCACTCACAATGCCAACCTCCTGCCACCTTGGCCTTCTCTGGACTTTGGGTGCCAATGAGTACAGGAGGGAGGCCAGGGGCAGCTGAGAGCAGCTCAGCATGGGCTTGCAGGTCCCCTCAGCCTGGGTGCTACAGACAGACAGCATGTTGATGGCAGAGACACAGATTCCTGGCCACAAAAGGGTGGGCCCCTGGTGACCTATCTTCAGGCTAGGGATGGCCTGAATCCTGGGCTTCCAGGTGCAGGTGGAGTGTGGGCCTGGAGTGAGAACTTACAGTACTTTTTCTGGGACCATCCATGGTTACCCATGGACAACCAGCACATACTTCCTCCCTTCTGAGCCCATAAAACCCTCTGGACTCAGCCAGACTCACACGGATGTCAGGCCTACCAGCGGTGGGAAGGAGATACCCACTTCAGATCTCCTCTACTTGACTTGTTGGGACAACCTGACTGTGGAATGGAGCCATGCACTGCAGGCCTCCTATTGGCTGAGAGCTGGACACTTGTTGGAACAACCTGCCTGCATAAAGGAACTACTCACTTTAGGTCTCCTGAGAGCTGTTCTGTTAGTGAAGCTCCTCTCTGCCTTGCTCACCCTCCAGTTATCCACATACCTCGTTCTTCTTAGATGTAGGACAAGAACTCGGAACCTACTGAATGGTGGACTGAAAGAGCTGTAACACAAATAGGGCTGAAACACACCCTGCTTGCCACGTTGTGGGCCTTGAGGAGGGAAGAGCTGTGGTCTTTTGGGGAGCCCAGACCTAGGGATTCCCTGAGTCAGGGTTGTGACACTCTCTTTGAGGTTTTATGGTTTCTGGTGTCTCTAGGCTTCCTGGCACCACCGTGCTCCCCTCTCCCAAACATGGATATCTGCAGCAGAAGCCACATGCAGTACCTCTGGTCCAGCTGCAGCCTCACATGGAGCTGGCACCTGTGCCAGTGCCTGGAACTGCCTGTCTCACTGCAGTAGCCAGTGTGCCTGGCTGTGTGCAGTGATTGGACCCTGCACTTGCTCGACCACACACCCCTTGCTGCTATAGGTCTGGCTCACCCTTGGCAGGCGTGGGATCTGGGCTTATAGTGCTAGCTGAGCACAGCCTACTGGGCTTAACAAGGGCAAGGAGCCCAGCAGGCACAAGCAATACTCAGGCAGAAGGTGCCGCTGGCCACAGAAGTTTCTGACCGGTGAAGCAACACCCGAAAGATCTTGTGACAGCATCCTCTGGGAAGTTTCTCTAGGACTATTTTCATATTGCTGTTTTTATTCTTAGCTGGATCAAATCTACTGAAAAGCCTATCGAACACATTCTTTATTTCTGTTACTTTGTTTTTGTTTTTAAAATTTTCTGGTAATTCTTTTTTATTCTTTCTTAAATTTTCCATCTTTTCTTCTTACATTATCCACCTACTTTTGGTATAGCCTTTGTATTAGAAGACATACAAAA